GGCCATTTCGCTAGCTTCACATGTACCAAATTTGGTGTTATATGACGTCAATGGATGACGAAAGTATATGACTGGTGCAAACATAATAATGATGAGATGACTTGCGTGTCATGTAAAGCATAACTCCATGCTACGCTCATAGCACGCTCGCGGCTGTTTCAATGGCTTACATATACGAACTTTGCTATTACACGATGTGAATGGACAAGAAAGGTAAATAACACGTCCAAAAATTATAATCATGACATGCGTGTCATGTAAAACATGACTACATTCTACGCTCATAGCGCGCTCGCGGCCGTTTCGCTAGCTCCATGGTCAGGGTCCCGGTAGGGTCCCCTGACCTTGGGACCCTTTTTTGTATATCCATCACGCTGTAACAACGCTATGCAAAAAAAATACAACTTTGATTTGATCTAGTATCACGGGACGTGAAGAGACTACAAAGGTAAATGACAAGTTCAAACATAATTATGGCATGTAGGTAATCTACGGCATAATTTACTTCTGCCTCGTAACGTTAGGCTCATTTTAAAGTGACTTATCAACCTTCCTCATTTGTGCTTCGCATATTACCAATTCCCACTGTACGTGGGATCTGCCAAGTTTTTGCCTAGGTTTCTTGTAACTTATACGGGAACAATAAAAGTGCACGGGACCAAAAATTTTAATGAAAAGAAACACTCCCAGGGCGCGAAAAAATATTGAAAGGTGGCAGCGCAAGCGTCCCGTTTTTGAACACTGTGATATTTTTCGCATTTCACGGCCGAATTTAACCCAAACTATAAATGTTGTCGAAAATTTTTTCTGCTAGTTTTCATACATGATAGGTACTACATGTGCAAAATTGTCAAAATCGACCCAAATAAAAGAAGTGCGATAACTTTATGCACAGAAGCTTCTAAACATTTTCTTTGCTACATATCTGAGAAATATTGCTTACCTACACGTAGTGTAAAAGAAGAAAAAGACAGTTAAAGAAACAAAATTTTTCAAAACTTAAATTTCGAAAAATAAACAGCAGCTGTGCTTCACTGCATGACCGCTCTGCATGGCCTCAGAGCCGACTTGTTTTTCTGGCCGTAAAGCTTTTGTTGCGATTGTCTACACCACATGCTTTTTCCAGGCTTGCATATATGAAAAGAAAGTACAGCTAGAAACAGGTGGAACGTGACAGCCGGTCACACAACTTATTGACAAGCTGTTCAGACTGAACCGGTATGACCCTTTAGTTTGAACATCTGCCACGAAGAAACACATTTACCGCTGCATAATGTGCCACTTTACGACATTCTCTCTTTTCCTTTCCTCTCACTGCAAGAGGCATCTCACCACTTCTGCCTGTCTATAAGGGGTTTCCGAAATACCCATGGCTGAGAATCACTGTGTCAGAACAACTACTACGCACTGCAAAAAATTTACAAATTATTGATGATTACTGCATCATTTGGAATATGAAACTGAGCACTAAAAAAATTCTTCTATTGAGCCCAACAAGACAGACACAAGCTAGTGTAACTATCACTATATAACTGAACTGTATTAAAAAGATGACACAAGCACCTTGGCGTCACATTAGATGATAACCTTTCCTAGTCTACACACAAGTATAGACCGTTAATAACATAAGACGCAGGAGCCTCGAATATCTGTATTATAAGTGGTACCGCACTATAACCAAAGCAACCTTTTTTAACGGCCGCAGCTGCCCAAAACGTGTTGCGCATGAAGCCTCGCGTGTCTGAAAATTGATGCATGCGATGCGTGGAGCTTACAACCATTCGAATTCCCGAAGGTTAAAAAAAATTAGCGACCAAACAAGTGCGTTGCCAACGAAATTAACACGAAAACAGGGTGGGGATATAGCAGAAGAAAGCAACATCCTGAAAATTCGCAGACTATTTTTCAGACAACCTCGATAATGCGCATTACACATAAATTATTTGGAATCACGTCCGAAATTTCACGCGCTGAAAGACACCAATCTTTTGATTTCACGGGGGCGCACCCGATTTCAGGACATCGCAACTGAATCAGGAACCACTATTCATAAGTGTTACACGTGCCACCCTCGTTTTCATTAACGATTTGTATCCTTTCCCTTCAACTGCAGCCACCGCAAAGAGTTTCGTTGATTCCATACCAAACTATGCAACTTAGCACACGACCACTACTGAAATGCAACCAACGTTGATTAGTCCTTGACTGCCATTCAGTATGCTGTTGCGGGAAGTTTGTCCAAGACTTGAAGATCGGGTGTCGAAAAGATACCATTCATGTACTAAACTACAACGTGCGTGATAGCGTGCATGATAGAAAGTGTGCGTTTGTTGCCGGGAGATCAACGAAAACCAGCAAGGCTTATGTGAGACCGCGCACAGGCCGCAGAGGCGAAACCTCGCGTGATAAAGTTATAAAAGATTTCAATTTGCAGGCCAGGTAGCTAACTCGATTTCTGTAGCAAATAAATAATGATGGCACTCGACAGAAAACTCTTTAAGTGAAATTGATAAGGAAGAAACCACAAGTGTCATGTTGAGCTGCACGCAGCTGGCAGAGAGGGGCTGAAGTCACGCTAGCGACGCTAGTACACTGTAGCCACGTCGGCACCGCTGCAAAAGCTTCCCGGGCAACCGCTCTCGGCAAGCGAATGCAGCGTGCCACAGTCTTTTTTTCTTTTCTTTTTGCTCCCTCTGCCCTTCGTTTGTTCCCTCCACTTTCTTTCCTCCTTGCAACGACCTCGTCCTTCGCTCCCCAGCGGTGCACCCAGCACGCTTCCTTTTTAGACGCACACTGGCTGTTGCGTTTGCCACAACGATTTCCCGGCAACCCATTATAACCGGTCTTTCATCTCGGGGGAAATGCACAATAAGCGGTGTGCGTATACATGGGGTTCTATAGGAGGATAAACGTGAGTGAAAAAAGACCTCATTGTAACCAGTCCTGCACAATGAGTGTAACGTTATAAGTGATCTACAGTTATATCCTCGACATGCTCATCGTTTAATAAGATGTGGTCCCTTAGGAGAAAACTGAACCAATGCATACCCCAATGTCAACCTTCTCATATATTAAGCCTGCGTTCGATCTAAGCTTGAATATGCCTCAATTGTATGGGATCCATACAATAAAGGTAACACTGCACAACTTGAACATGTCCAGAGGATGCCAATGTATTATGTCTTAGTTTGTATCGAAGACAAGGCTACATCACATCCCTGATGAGTAAGCATGGTGTTCTAACTCTACAGTTTTGCAAAAATGTTACCTGTCTGGCATGTCTGCTTAAGAACTCCGGAATATCTGTCCACAACATGGCATTCTCTATAGTCTGACCTGTCTGACATGTCTGCTTAGGAACTCCAAAATGTCTGTCCGCAACATGGCATTCTCTATAGTGCACAACCCTCTCAATGCATATTTCGAATTTTGTCTTGATACCTAGTGCCACTGAAAAGCATCAGCTGTCATTAGTTTGCACACACACAAGATTGTGCTAAAAATGTGCATTTTGCCTAACTTTATTTGAAATAGTCCCCTTAAAAATGGCCTAAAAAGAGCATTGTAAGCAGAATGCACAGAAAGCTGTAACATCCCTGAAATTAAAATGTCACCTGCACGAGAACTGCACAAAGATACGAAGGCAACACAATATGGCTTTCTTAGTTGGGAAGGTTCACAGTTGAGAAGGAAAGGCAAGGAGGTCAATCAGACATGTGCCAGGTCAGCTACTTTAGTCTGGGGGCAAAAGAACTGAAGGGGCCCTGGCACCTAATGTTCGATTATAATATGTGTTATGTGGGTGAATCCTTGGATGTTCACAAACACGCTGGCGAAACTCCAGTACATTTAGTTGAGCAATTAATTTATAACGAGTATTATTATAAACACGTGAGCCACCTGAAAGTCAGACAACACTTGTGCACTCGGGAGCCTTAACGTAACAAGCCGCTAGCTTTACGAGCGTCTGTATGCAGGCAAGGATTTTGTTTTGAAGTCAGCTGTGCATAGAATGGAGCTCTATAACCGCTTTTTTCAGCTCAGCATCATCATCATCATCATCAGCCTGACTACGTCCACTGCAGGACAAATGCCTCTCCCATGTTCCGCCAGTTAACCCGGTCCTGTGCTTGCTGCTGCCAATTTATACCCGCAAACTTCTTAATCTCATCTGCCCACCTAACCTTCTGTCTCCCCCTAACCTGCTTCCCTTCTCCGGGAATCCAGTTAGTTACCCTTAATGACCAGCGGTTATCCTGTCTACGCGCTACATGCCCGGCCCATGTCCATTTCTTCTTCTTTATTTCAACTATGATATCCTCAACTCCCGTTTGTCCCCTAATCCACTCTGCTCTCTTCTTGTCTTTTAAGGTTACACCTACCATTTTTCTTTCCATTGCTCGCTGCGTTGTCCTTAATTTAAGCTGAACCCTTTTTGTAAGTCTCCAGGTTTCTGCTCCGTAGCTAAGTACCGGCAAGATACAGCTGTTATATACCTTGCTCTTGAGGGATAGTGGCAATCTACCTGTCATTATTTGAGAGTGCTTGCCGAATGTGCTCCACCCCATTCTTATTCTTCTGGTTACTTCAATCTCGTGGTTAGGCTCTGCAGTTATTACCTGCCCTAAGTAGACATAGTCTTTTACAACTTCAAGTGCACTATTACCTATCTCGAAGTGCTGCTCCTTTCCGAGGTTTTCAGCTCAGCATAGAAATGTTTTGCAGTAGCTGAAGCTTAGGTAGAAAACTATGGCTCCACTCCAGGAAGCACATGATGTCACATGTGCTTCACAAGGCAAAATGTCAATAGCCGATGGCGACCAAAGTCTACAGCCGCCGACTGCTAGGGCTCATTTTAGAATGAAATATTTTTTTAGGGTCTATTTTTTATATAAGTAGAGGCACAGCATACGCTCAACTTCAATTTTACACTGAGAACTGCAATTTGGTGGGCGACCGTGTTATGGGATGAAAAGAAAGGAAGAGGAAGGATGCTGCTGTCCAAGTACTATCAGGCATATGTATTTCAACATGTGTGCTTGTCGACTACACGTACAAATGCAATTAAAAAAATCAACCTGGTTTTGAGGATTAAACGTAAGACCAAAGCCTTTTGGGAGTGTTTACCCCTTGTCTGGGATAAGCAGACAGCTAAAAAATTTCAAATTGGGGTCAAGTTAATTGGCAGCATGAACAAACTAGTTTCATTTATAGCTTAGTGCATTGCTCAGGTTAATGGTATTTTTTCTATTTGGTGAAACTGCCTATAGCACACATTACGGATTCCCACATAATTGACCTGACATTTAACAGCCCTGCATAAAATGCACTTCAAACAGAAAAAAAAAAATATTAAGAAGGATGTTCTGATAACACATTACAGATTCCCACATAACTGACCTGACATTTAACAGCCCTGCATAAAATGCACTTCAAACAGAAAAAAAAAATATTAGGAAGGATGTTCTGATATACTATTATAAAATTTGGTTGAGGATCCTATAAGAGCAGTTAGAAATAGTCGTAGCATCAGTAAATAGCCATCACTGTAACAACAAACTGGAAAATTTTGAGTTGGAGCTTCCATAAATTTGAAAGTACTCCAGCAGAATTTAAGTTGCTCTTTTTCATACATGGGCAACTTTTTACACATAAGCATCGCAACTGTCACATCTGTTTTGCAACATGCCTTTTCAATGCACTGCTGAAGATTCCACCAGGCTGCATCTGATGCACTCCCAAAGGCACAAATGCTGATACACGACTGTTCATGTGAACTAACGCATCTAAATTGCAATGCCATGGAAAAGTTTACCTGTGCTAAAGTCCTTGAAAGTGACATGCACTCGATCTGCAAGCAAGAGCAGTCTGAGTGATTGCAGATAACAGGTGCTAACACAAGGTAACATTATAACACAATTCTATTCCTTAATTTAAGTGATGAATTTGTCTAGCAGCCCAACTGACAAAAGAGCTATACAAAGAAGACAACTTCATAACAAAAGACGTGTGTTTGTCAAGACTCCAGTGACAGAGGAGGCACGGTAAATATACAAAATAGGTGCAAAAAGCAGCATAGAGCTGCTTTCGGCACGCATGCTAGTGCAGTGTTAGTCAAAGTGCAGCTTGGTGTGTAGAGAAACTTGTGTGTGCCAACAACAGAGGAATGTATCTTTTCCAGGTGAAAAAAAAAAAAAAAGCTCGCACACAAGTTTCTTTACTTTTTTTTCTTTTTTAACCCAGCCAGGACTTGTGTAAAATAGTATAATGGTAATCCAATGGGCAGTCAGGTGGCACCTGGTGCCACACAATCTGCTGCCCAGCTGTATGTCAGGGACATTCAGCAAAACAGAACGTCAGCCACTTGTTCCCCGTCATGACCTGTACATAAAGCAGTGTCCTTGTTAGGGTTCATCTGTGCATCACTGGCGTGGAATCTTTGGCAGCTCCCACATTTGTGCAGTAAAGCCGACAGACATTGCTTCATGCTGAATACAGACATCCACTGTAAACATAGGGCATTATATATAGTACATTGTCTACATTATGCTATTTTGGCTTCTTGTTCCGGCGATCTCTCGGGCCACCACGCTGCCACTCACGCTGGAGTTCTAAAAGCTGCTCTTTCGTGAGTAAGCCTTGAGCAAGCAGACGGTCAGCAAGCTTGCCCTGTAGTTTTGGTGCATGGGTTGAGGGGGGCCCCTCATCATGATCTGTAAAGCATTCCAATTTCATTTATCAGAACTTACATGCACATTCAATCACAATATGTAAGTAGGCATAAAATATAAAAACGTGGCTCACTGAAAGCTACGTTTTTTAAGTGCCGGCCATGATCTTAACAAGTAAGTAATAAAGCACCGATGTATACTTCTGATGCAATAGGTTTTCACATTTATAAATTATTTGGACACCACACTTTTTTTTTCCCCTGCTCAATTATTGCAAGCTTCTTGGCACGATGAAGTGCGTTCTCTAATATAAACTAGAAGCGAAAGTTGTCCTAGTTGGTGTTTCATGCCCGTCGTTTCTCTTCAGTCCTTGTCTCTATTTTCGCATTGTTTTTACATCCCAACCCCGATATGAACATTAATAAGAAGGACTACCACTCTAGACAATGTATGTACAAGTAAAAATGTAATAAGTAAGTAAAAATTAATACTAATAACACATTGGTTGACTTGACAATAAAGCCCTTAACCTTTTGTGGACCCTATTCCAGCAAAACTACTAATACATACCAGGTGAAAAGGTACAGTCACAAAGAAACCAAAAGTACAATGACCATAAGAAGAAATCAAATTAGGCCTCTGCAATTATTTCAGATCTTCGATGCCTATAAAAGATTTTTGAGATTCTTATGTATTCAAAACGTCCAATTATACTACTGCATGTAACCCCTCTGAAAAGGTGGTTCACTGCACAGTGAGGCCGCTATGTCATCAAACCACCTACTCAGGGGAAATCTGCACTGCCACAAAGCCATGCTTCAAGGCTTAATGTTTTTTTAATGTTTAAGAGCACGCTACACGAGCTGAGCTCGTACAAACTACGGCAAGTTCTAAAATACTAAGTATTTTACAGCTTATAACTTGCGTGCTACTATTATTGAAATCCAGCTACTAATCAAATTCACTTCAAAATGATTTATTTATTACTGATTACCACTCATTTACAACTCACTTTAAACCAAAAAAAATATTGCACAAGCCTAAACTTAAGGTTGCCTGGACATACAGATGATCTTATGCTGATTGTACTGCAGTTTGAAGATGTCATGCCTGACAAGCCAGAAAAAAATTTTTTGCAAGGGTGATGGTGCCAGATGCCACAGTGCAGTTTTGATGCTATTCCCATTTTCTCCAAGATATGGGCTTATACGAACAAAGGTGCAAAATTAAATCCTGCAAAATGACCTGAGCTGCCATTGTTGCACAGTTAACTTGCGAAGAGGAACTGAAATGCAACACCTGAGCAATACTGTATTGCAATGCACACAGCAAATGGTGAATCAGGTAAATATAAAATGCATAACTCAGAAAAGAGCAAGTTGGCATAGTACATTTTGAATGCAAGATCAAGCAAAATATCCCAACACACCTTCTACACTACAACCACCATAAATAACATTTTGGCCCGACATACTGAGTAGAACCCGTTTATAACAAACTGAGAAGTGCCACAATAAGTAGCCGTTATATCAGTAGTTGTATATGGGCTCGCCCATAAAAAACATCCACTTAGCGGTCAAACTATTTGTGTGTGTGTGTGTTTTTTATTAAAAAGTGCTAACGACCCCTCCACTCACAAGTTAGGCCTCTGCACGAGTTAAGCGATGCCCACTTGCTCACGAGTGACTTTATGTTCGCAATAAACTCACGCTGCTCAACTGAAACGCGGTACTGTCACGTGGAACCAATCATCAGTGGATAGTTGCGTGCAGCATCACTTACTCAGCTCTCGTCGTTGCATGCCTGGCTGTTTGCCGTCTAATGAACGTGTGCATTTGTGCGTTCTTCATGCATGCTTCACTCATGCTCGGGTGTAGTGAGTAGCCTTTTCGTTTAACAACGATGATGGCATGCAATTTTGCAAACAATGCGCAAGCGGCTTAACCCAACGCGGCGGCAGCGAAAGTGCAAACGGCAGCATGATGCACTTCCACCGTTGACTCCGCGCGATTTAACCACACACTGCCGACCAGCAGATATCAGTAGATTACTGTGATAAGGTTGTCGGCGATGAGTTCAAGTGGCACTGGCACGTTCATCGCCACCTCTCCTTCGATCTTTTCTGATGCTTATCCGTCAAGTCGTTATCATTCATCCACCAGTCACTGCCGTTACTGAAATGAGGAAAACCTTTTGAAGTCCATTGCGGTGTCCGTGATGAGCGGCGCAGTGGACTATTATGCCACAACAAGTTCTCGCTTCTCGCATTTACGACTTCTCGAGTTAAGAGGCATTGCTTATTTGGTTAATCTTCGGCGGTCGTAGATGCCGAGAACGGCAACAGAAAAAGTTGCCGCGCAAAAACTGACTGCAACTGATCTCCTCATGATATTTCTTTTTCTTTTCCTCCCTTTTCTTCTACCAGTGAAGAAATGCCTTGAAAGTGAGCGACCTCTGTTGCAGCATCTAAAATCTGGGGGCGCTACTCGCCGCGGTCTAACATATTGTCGTAGCGAGTAAACTGCAGAGGGTCACGGACGAGTGCGTGCCTGTCACATGCTTCAGATTGGCCTTTTTTTTTTTTTTTTCGCTTCGTGTGCCCCATATTTGTACACTGACCGCGTTCGCTGTGTTCACTATAAAAGTAAGAGACTTTGAAAATGTTTGCTACATGTGTTCGCAGCTTCAATAGGTAGAAGGAAATCATAAATCCACCAAGATATGTTCATTCTAACCGATAGATCGTTATATCTTGGTCTATTATGAGTGGGTTCATCTATTCACATTATTCTGCTCCTTTTTATGAACTTCAATGCATTAAAAATTGTGAACAGTGAATAAGAGACAAGAGAAAACACGTGACTCATCACCAGGTCCAATGTCTCCATTATTAGCGAGAATGGCATTGTCACTGTGCGATCAAGGTAGCACTTTCCAAATGCCACTGAAATATTCTAGCATGCTGAAATCTCCTGTGCTCTCGGAAGCCACTGCACTACCTTAGGGACAACAAGCTTGCATGGCTCGGCTTGTTGGTAGCAGCAGTTAATTTATTTCCCAAAGATTGCTGGAATTCCCTTCACAGGAACCGTTTAATCAAGCACTCAAAAGATGCAAAAGTTACGCCATGTCCAGAATGTGATCTTGGGAGGGTCAATGCACTAAGCTCAAGCCCACAGTGGTCTATGTGCCTGTGGGTAACGATGCCACCAGAGCTTCACCTTATTGATTAGGTGTCCTTAAGTATGTCAAGCATAATAATTAAAGATATATTCATGTTTGCACTTACAGAATCATCTTCAAATAACACATAGCACTCAAGTACGCATAGTACAGGTTGCACCTGGTGCTCACACCTAGGGCAGGAAAAGCTCATTTTCAACAAGCATCTTTCTCTTGAAGAGTATAAAATCAACGCCAGCTTGTGTCCATCAGCCAGGCACACACGTAGTACTGTCGTTACCCTGGTCTTTTGCCTGTTGTGTGAACAGATAGCTCTTCAGTGCCAGCATCTTCCACAACTTAGCCATATAAAATGCCCCAAGAAGAACAGAGCAATGTCGCATTTTAAATTTGGCCTGTTAAGTGGCATATGATACCCTGGCTTAATATACTTGCTGCTTATTCTCAGCAAGATGCTGTCTTTTTTAGATAGATGCTCGCTTGCAAATTAATAACCCACTGCGATGTATAAAATTCTGTTAATATGTATAGTTTTCATTAGCCCAACATGACAAGAGCTATATTCTGAAGCCAAAAATATTAAAAATACACAACACCTATTAGACTTATGCCACTATGATAGGAAGTACAGATGACCCAGTAAACTTAAATTTGTTAAACGAAACTACTGCTTAAATAAAAGGACTGCCCTCAGCCTTATTGGTTTCATACTTGCATTCTCCACCCTTGTTCATTTTTTTTATTTTATTTTATTTAAGACATACTGCAAGCCCATTGAAGGGCCCAAGCAGGAGGGGCATCACGAGAAAAACAAAATTTAGGCACAATACACATGATACACTGATTAAAATAGTTTGAACAAATACAGGAATGCATCAAAGTTACAAAAATCCGCAATACACGTGGTACACTGTTGGAAATATATTGTACACATACACAAGAGTACATCGAAGTTGCAAAACAAAGCAATCAGAATTCCAATTGTTCAAAGGAGTGAATATTGGTCACAGCCGATTCAGTTAGTTTATTCCAATCTGTAATAGTACGCGGAAAAAAGGAAAACTTAAAAATATTAGTTCGAGTGCTGTACGGAGTCAGAGGTTCGAGGTGTCTATGCCGTGTTTGTCGGGAAGTGAGTGGCTGAAGGAATTCCTCGGGTTTAAGTGAAAGTTTGTTATTTTTAAGCAAGAATAGAAATTTTAACCTTTGAATTTGACGGCGTGATTGAAGTGTTGGAATTTTTTTTCAGTAAACGAAACTCCTGTTAAACAAAACACATTTTTCTGGTCCCTTCAGGTTTCATTTAACGAGAGTCTATGTACAGTTTATGAAACTACATTAAAAGTACGCCAATCTAAGATTAAAAAGCTTCACATTACCAGTTTCCTCAGATTCACTTCCCATTCCAGCACGCAACAGTTGTGTGATATTGAGCACACCCTTTTGAATAATCGAGTCTAACTCCTGCTGCATGGCACGTACAGCCTCAGCATCTGGAAACAGGTCTGGGAAGCGGTAGCTGCAATAGGGCAAAAGAACAGACAATATGTGCAGGCAATCATCTGACGCCACACAGGGCACTCAAATTCAGTGTTTTCATTTGAAAAACATTGGTCACTGTAGTAGTACGTATATACTATATTTATTACAGTAAGATTACAGGAATGTATAGGAAGCTAACTATTCAGCCCACAAGATGTAATGTTCCATGCAAGAAAAATGTATAAGTGCTTCAACAAACACAGCACTATGATGTTTATGCTTCAAAAGGCCATGACATGACGTTTTTGCATAGTCATTCTTCATTTCGCTATGCTCTTTTGCCCTCATTGAGAAATGTGAGTTAATTTGATGAAGCACCCAAAAAATGGCGTCACTGATTTACTGGTAAGTAAATTACAGTATGGTTACTCCTGCATCGTTGCAGTTAATACCACTAATGATGACCAAATCCACAGGCCACATGATGAAGTTACTGCTGACATTTTCTTTCTTCTTGTTTTAAAAATCAGATACAGACAGTAGTTTATTAAGGCTTTCGCGTTGCATTTCATGGACTTTAAGTACCGTTTTACGACCTTGAATATTTTTCAGTCATTAACATTGTTATTCCCTCACCCTTTTCCATTTATCTCAGCACTATCCTAAATAGCTTCAATATAGTAAATTCAACCTTTCCCCGACTGAAGATGAGCCAAACCTGTTCACAGCGTTTGTACGACTTCCACGAAAAACAATCTGGGCTTGTCCGCACTGAAAGAAGCATTTGGGGGCACCGCAGTTAAGCTAATGATTGATTGATTGATAACTTTATAGATTGATTTCACCGAATTTGCTTTTGGTTTCAACAGATGGCCCAGTAAAAAGTTTGAAAATGTGCTCAAAGCCCTCATTTTGATTGAAAGAACTTGATTCAGGTAACAAGAATTATAAAATGGCATCTAGCTCAGTGTACAAAGAGCTTGCATGTATTAGCAAGAGCTCTGTTCAGAAAAAGAAAAAAAAAAGAAAAAAAAAACACTTCTCCTGCAAGTGTTGCAGTGACTGCAAAGAGCTACACATTTCCTCTAATTGTGGGATCACAACAACAACCACATTTCAACGTATCACCAGTGAACAAACCCCAACAAGCCCATAGGTAGCTTGTTTTCACAGGCTCGCTTGTCTCCCCTACGCTTCATTTTTACAATTTCAGAGAGACATTTACTGCACCAAATAATGAAAAGGTTAAGGTAATTTCCTTGACACAGTGCAGTGCAGCTAATCCTCTGCATAGTTTCAACAAATTATTTTGCTTGTATCTTACAAATAAACACTTTTAAACAGTTTTTTGGGATGTCTCAATTCCCGTAGAATCAAATACGCAAATAAACACAATCTGCATTTTGTATTGTTTTTGCCCCCAAAAACTCTAACTCAGTAGCGATAGTGTAAATCTCCCCTGCTTTTAATTTGCTTTTGAGGTATTAGTGCATGCATCATTTTTATCCCAAGACTTAAAGGTATTACAAACTACTATAATACAGCTGAACCTCGTATATCGAACCCACATACATATAATGAATTAATGTGTATATTAAACTGTTCTAAAATACCTTTAAAGTGACCATGACAGCAAAGTGCATTCGTGTGAAAGCTATCGAGATAGCACGCGACTCTAGGCTCACGAGGAGCCAATTCAAGGGCTTGCCATCGTGGATGTGTCGATTTATGAAGCAGAAGGGCTTTGCGCTAAGGTGGCACACTTTTGTGTGCCAAAAACTGCCAGAAGATTTTCATAACAAGCTGGTCGAGTATCAGCTCTTCATCATAGGGCTTCGTTAACAGCACTGCTACATTATGGGACACATGGGATACCCTTATAAAACTCCGATCTGGTTTGATATGCCCTTGAACCTGACTGTGACCGCAAAGGGTCTAAGTAAGTGAAGCCCCTAACAATGGGCATTGAGTATTCAAAATTTATAGTGATGCTCGCGTGCACGGCCGATGGAAAGAAGCTGCCCCCTTATATAATTTTCAAGAGAAAAGGGCTACCAAAAGAAGACTTTCCCTGGAATGTTATTGTGACAGCGAACAACAAAGGGTTCATATATGAGTCCCTCGTGCTTGAGTGGATCCGACTCGTGTGGAATTCGTGACCCAGTGTGCTTTTTTAGCGACCGATTATGTTGGTGCTTGACTCCTTTCGAGGCCACCTCACGACCAATGTAAAGGGAGCTCCGTCCAGTGGCAAGACGAACCTTGTCGTGATCCCTGGGCGACTAACATCAATCTTCTAGCCACTGGAAGCAGTGCTCAATAAACCCTTCAAAGATTACAAACACAAGCTCTACAATGAGTGGATGCTGGGCGACAACCCAAGACCCCCGCTGGCCACCTACGACGTTCACCGCTTGCGACCGTTTGTGGCTGGGTGTCATCAGCACGAAAATCTCTCCCAGAAGAGATGGTGCGCAAGCCTTTCCACAATTGCTGCATCAGCAATGCATTAAATGGAACGGAGGACAATGCTCTCTGGGACCTAACTAGTGAGAAACAGACGTGGTCTGACTCAAGTTCGAACACGTCCAAGTGACAGCACTTTGTGGCCTTCTGGCGTTTAAATACATCAGATCAGTGTCAAAATAAAAAGAAATGTCACCACAGTGCAGTTAGTTGTGTCCCATATTTATCAAAGTAAGGGTATGCCGCCATAGTCTGAGGTTCTTAAAAACAAATTTCTTTTTTGGAATTGAAAGTTGGGGAGGGAGGGGGGTCGACCTGTATTTGGGTTATTACGATATAACTGGCTAGCAATATTGTACTTGTATATATATATATAGTCTAATCTTGTTACAGCAAACCTCAGATTAATGATCTTTTTCAGACTGACTTTTTAAAAAATCTCCCTCCAAAAGTTCAATGGTTTAATGTAAATATATTTCGCTGCTACGAGTTTCAGAATACCGAATGTTTCAGAATAAAGTATCAAATTTTAACCCCCTTATATGTACACAACACTTCCAAATAACAAATAGAGATTTTAAAAGGTTACTTGTGGCTGTGTAAAAAAAAATGCCTAGCTCTGTACCTGCCACTATCATCATCATCAGAATGTCCGCATATTTCTCTATCTGCCCGCCTTTTAAAATGTAGAATAGGCCAACCGCCATCATCATCACCTGGTACTTATTTTTCACGTCAGGCTTTGCTTGTTGCTTTTGTTTTCGTCAAGCAACTTTACCTGCATGCTTGTTACACGGCTGCTTTCTAGCTTTTTGGTTTGGTGGCTGAACGTCAAGATGAGATCCGGAAGCAGTACAAAAGGAATGCTACGACAGTGAAAAATGTGATGCGAGTAACCTATGGGATGAAGTCGCCGATGATTACCTACCTGTGCATGCTTCACTAACATTCAAACACTACACACAGTGCGACAACGAAGCATGCACATAAGTTTAGATGTTGACCGATACTATCCATACCATTCCCTGTGATTAGAAAACGGTGACAAGAGCAAAGACGACGTTGAAACAGTGCGCGCCAACCAACACAAAGAATCTGTATTTGATGCTGATGCTTCGGAGTGCGTAAGAAGGATGCACATGCATAAGAGTTCATCTTTCAGCAGGCAGTCGAGCTTCCCACATCAGGATAGATCGTGCTCTTCCTCAACTAAGTGTGCACTTGTTCCACATTATTTTCTGCTTGTTTATTTTTTGTGCTTGTGCATAATGCGGTCGCGAATGTATACATACCAGAGGTAGGCACGAACGTGTTTGCATTTATGATTTTTGCACAAACTTTTAATACTTTTATTGAGCCAACTTTCCAAAATGAAGAATGATTTTTAACAGTCCCTTGAGATTAACTCTATTATGATTTTACTAAATATATATATTTAGCGAGCCAGGACCATCACCAAAGACCTCACTCAATGTTCCCTGGATGACAGCCCCTGAAAGCCTAGCCCAGGCCAGTAGTTTCTCGCTAGATTAAAGTTTACTACCTACCTACATAGAAACTTTTTGTGATCCCCTTTAGATTCTATATAATAAAATTCAAGTGTAATGTGCCATGCTTTCTTGGCTTATGTGCAGCAGTACCTTATTATTATAACCCGATAATACCAGTGATCAGCGGCACATTGTATAGCGTGTATAGCGGTTGCACATGTCTATTGCAATATATCTCAACTTGTAGTCTACAGCCTTATACCAGAACACTTATCTTTCTTTAGTGTTTCCATCTTGAAATGTTCTTTCAAACTTCATTACAGCATTCCAAATTTTATGACATTCTTGAAGTTGTAATTGATTAAGACTTCACTGTAGTAGTGACAGCCTACATAATTAGAGCTGGTAATTGATTAAGATTTCCCTGTAGTAGAGGCAGCGTACATAACTAGAGGTGATGACGCATGTATATTTGCCATTTTTACACAATTGTAGGTCAACCCATTTTATCTAAATTTAAAATCTGATCATGAATTTCCCCTCATCTGACCATTTTATTCCCCTCATCTATATGTTTAAAAGTAACTAAATATATGAACAAATGAAATAAGCCTCTATGCAAAACCTTCTTGAGCTGTGTACATTTGTGCTTAAACTCAAAGGGGGCAAGGCATTTGTCTCATGTTTATTCACATTAGGCACCCAGTGAGTAGCACGTGCTTTGGCTGTGGACACTCACCTCAGCCAGAGATAAAGGTCCAGCACATCAAAAACAGCTTCCAGGTGAACCAAGTCCATGATGGTCTTAGGAACAGCCAAGGGCCAATTAATGTTGCGTCCCAACCATTGACACGTTAGTTGTTCATTGCGGCTGTACTGCCGTGCAAACTGCAACCAATGAAAATAAAAGTGCCTGTTTTACCATGATGATGATGATGATGATGAACAAACTTCATTAAATTAGCAGAAAGGTCCTCTTCCCCTTTCAGGTGCGAGAGGAGAAGGGAGGACCAAACCTAGACGACGGCCATGATCCCATGGGCCCTGGCGGCGTCTTCGGCCTGCCGTATTAATCGGGCTTGTAATTGAGAGTCAGAACCATGACATTTTTTTTTCTTTCAATGTTAATTCCACAGCACAGCAATGAAAGCAGTAGCAGCTGGTCTATGCAACCAATGTACCTAGTGCATAGGCTCCAAGGACAAGAAGCATAGTTTTAATCAAGCATTGGTGGCACAGCATTGGAATCTGACAACTATAGCATTACAAATTTCTAAAGCACATTCCAATCTGCCTTGTTCTCTTCAGTGATGTTGAGTACATGAGCTAGAGTACGTATTAATCTTGCAGTAGCCTAGAAATCCAAGATACTAAAAAGTTCGGTACACCTAACGTGACCAAAAATTTGTTTGCATTTCCCTATGCGTCGATGTGGCCAGGTATCCTGGAAACGAAGTTTTCATTACCGTGGCAATCGACAGGAAAGGAATGATAGCGTCAGCCAGCTCAGTAAAAGCAAGGCACTCGAAAGCCACGAAAGAAGTGGCCATTGCACTAGACATACTGAGCAGAAATGGATCCCGGCGCTCATGGGAGAAGATGAAGAGGATCCCAAGACCTCCCGCCCAAACCTGAATGAGAAGCTTCAAAAGGGACAATTGGGCGAGTTGGTGCACTTCCATCTTAAAGGAATATTAGTGTGACGAAAACAGGGACGGGAAAGAAAAGATGGATGAGAAGGCCCACCTTGCTGCACGCGAACTCACCATCCGCAGCTGGGAACATGCATCTCATGGTGTTAGAAGTATTTTGATGAACCAAGGACACCTCTGGAAACAAAGAACTTCTGTCCTCGTTTTGTAGAGAGAGCCTGAGATGGCGCCACTGTAACCGTGGCTGAGGCGAGCTATCGTGTATGGTTGTTTCGGGGCCATGGATATGCCACTCGAAATGGATAAAAAGAACAAAAAACGCTTTCTTCTCTTTATAATGAGAGAAAAAATAAATAAATAAAAACGCAGTGAGAAATGTGAAATTTTGAGGATACAGCCGCAGGTATCAGTGAAAAATGTTCAATTCACTGCCTCAGTGATCTGTCATAGGGTTCCACATTCGGACATGTGAAATCGTGAATTTAAACATATGGCATTGAAGTCATATTCATATATGAGAGAAGGCAGTTGTGTTTGTTGAAGTAACTTTTGCAGAAACGAAAATAACCTATTGGTCACAGTATTACAGCAGAAAAATGTATGGTTAATAAGTCGCTGCAGTTGCACTTTGGTGGAAGCTACATGCTAGAGGCCCGTGCACTGTTCGATACCAGTGCACATTAAAGAAAACCACAGTGCTGTAATTTCTTGTGCCCTCCTACAGCACACCTTCTAATCATATCGTGATTCGAGCTCATAAAACCTCAGATATTCTCATTAACAAGTATAGCTCTATCACGAGAAGAAGACACCACACGTAGGTAGAGATGGTTCATGGAAAATTACCAACTCACAGCCAAGATCAACTCAAAAACGACCCATTTTGTTACAGTGATGTAGGAGATAAATTTTATTGCAGTGATGTAGAAATGACCCACTGGCACACAAACAAATTCACATTTGCAAACGAATCACACTCACTCACCTGACGAGCATTCAAATATCTTTGCTGCTACTGACGTTGCAAAGGAGATGGATGGGTTCAATAGGAGTACGTTTGCCCAACAGAGCTAGAATTACGTTCAGTTGCTCGTCAAGACTCACCACTCTTTTCATGACAATGCAACTGGGAGCAGTAGCATAGCAGAATTAGCTCACGCCAGTTGTGGAGTCATCTGGCTGGGTAGCTGCCTTAATAGTAATGAAAACTTCACAAAACATGATTGTTCTCAACCCGTCATTGTCAACCTTGTGTTAAGCTCAGGCTGTTGTTGGGAAAGGCATGCCACAGTCGTTCTCAAAAACTATCTTGATCAAACTTGTTACTGATACCGTGACTGGCATTGCTTCAAATCCTGTAGCATCAGATGCCAAAGAGCTCTGTTCATTTATCTCACAGACCACGCTGCATCCCTGCTAGGTCTCCGTTAGCACGAGTTCTTGAAATATGGTTGAATTTCCCAGTTTGACACAGTGCATTTGATGGCTGGAGGGAATGAATGATCTGCAGGCACTTTTTGTTTGTTTTATTTTCGGTGAGCCCGGCAGACGGAAAACTTTGTCGGCATGACATCTTTAGCCAAAGACGCCTTTCGTGATGCACTCACAAAAATGCGTACTTCGTAGACAGCTTCCTACATCTTCGTAGCGTACCTCGGCTCGAAGAGCTCTTTGCGGAAACGTAATCAGTCAACTGTCAACGTAATCACATGGCGCATACCTTCAGGCAATCTGCTCCTCGCGGTGAAGAAGAAAGCGACATTTTTTCAGTGTAGGTCTTGTAGCCAGATTCGCATCATGGCACAGAATACTTCTTGCCCATTTCACGGCTTGCTCACAAGAATAAAATAACATATCATCGGACAAGAAAAATAAGAACAAGAGCGAAACATCGCAGTGACTGTTTTGGCTACAAGGCATCCGCTTGCCACTATTGCACAATAGAAGCCGGCGCTCCCGCCTGTTGGCCACGCAGGCTTTCAGCCTCGTGACTACTCCTGCCATCTGGCAGCGTGAAGAAACCGAGGAATCAAAGTTAGACGCAGCGAGTGTGTGACGGAGGGGCTTCGTTGTTCCACCTATATTTCTAACACCATGACCCATCTCATGACTCCAGATGGACCATTCTACAACCACAACCCCACTGTAAACTAGATAGGTCAGAAAAAGTAGACTGGAGGCATCTACAAACAAGAACATTTGAAAACCCAGTACACCTCAACGGCATATACCCCACGCAATTCCCCGACGCTGGCTGTATCCTATGTAAACAGGAATATGCATGCATGGAACATATTCTGTAGAAAAGCACCCACACTACAAGGCTTTTTGACCATCAAAACCCGGACCTTCTTGAGACGCATTGGCACGACGCTCTGGCTAGTTCAGAACTTGAAGACCAGGTTTGGGCCATCCAGCAGGCCTCGAAAGCGGTGGAAAGGCTAAACCTTACCGTGACCACCCGGGTGGCCTAAGCCCAGCCGCTAATCTCCAGGTTTCAAATAAAGTTTTGCCCATCCATCCATTCATATTGCAGTTCCGAAACTGTTTGAAAGTTTTGGCATACACACGGTAAAATTCTGTACTCTCAGGCGCAGTATATGGTACAGTTGAACCCTGTTAACTCGAACTCTGAGGGGATTGGAAATCTGTTTCATTCATGAACTAGTGGAGGTCCTTTAATCAGCCATATAGCGCATTATACAGTGGAACCCCAATATGTAGGTGAACCTGTTATATTCATAAGTGCTCCATTTTTCCAGCAGCTCACTATTTCAGCGAGTCCTAGTACAGTTCTCATTGTACCCAATGCACTGGGAACACTGATGTTACGCTGATGTTCCAGCATGATACATGCCAAGCAGGCCCTCTGAGGTGGCCCAAGAGGCCATGGAAAACAGTAATCTTCAAGCAGAGACAAGCAGGTTTTGCTCACAGCTCGGCCTGTCTTGACTAGAGTATTAGCCAAAGGATGTCACCTCTGACGTGTTTTTGATTCTCACCAGCAAAAGCATGGACTCCAAGATCTGTATTTGAAACATGGCTACAGTACAGATAAAAATAAAGCCTTTGAGATCGACTTTTATTGATGCTGTCGCATTGGCGCGTACTTTTTGTTCATGGCTCCTGTATTTTCTTGCACTGTCTTATTTTTATCATGATGGCCATGCAAGCATGCCGCGTGTACTCAGTTCTTCCTTACCTGCAACTGTTGGTGCCAATAGAATCGCACGCAAAAATTACGTTTCTGTGGATGACGACACTCTCACCTCCATAGTTTTATCTGTGAATATTAATTACCTGCCAATAAGTGCAGCAGACCAAGTTAAAGGGAATCTCTACCATCCTTCATTGCTTTCCTGTTTTGTGTCGCAACAAAAAAAGTACCATGTGAAGTGTCTAGCCTTGCAGCAGTTTCTCTGGAAAGTGCGCAAAAATTTTTAAAACAACAATTTTTCTGTCCACTCTATGTCTTCTTCCATCGGTGGGATGAATGCTCACAATACTGGTCGGTGCCAGTGAAAGTTGAAAACTCAAACTGCCTGAGGTTTTTGCAGGCTTCATCAAGTCTGGTTATTAATAAAAAAAAATATTTTAATGGTCGTTTTAGGCACGCACGCACTTTTTTGTTGTTCTCATGAGTGGCGGTGGATGACGTGGTCATGTTTTTTCGTTGTTTGCAAGCAGGCAAGCGAACACACCGCTGGCAGCGCCACTGGGTGCCAATTTGAACGCGGGAGAAAAGAAAAAAAGTGGAAAAAGCTGCCTCAAGCTCATAAAATACAATCTCCAGTAAAAAAGTTTCTTTTTAGGCAAAACAGGTAAGTCTACCTGTGAATATTTTTTGTCCTACCAACAGATTATCAAGATTTTCCGTTGGAGGCGGAAATGTTATAGGCCCGTGTGCTCAGATTTGGGTGCACGTTAAAGAACCCCAGGTGGTCTAAATTTCCGGAGCGCTCCACTACGGTGTCTCTCATGACCATATGGTGGTTTCGGGACGTTAAACCCCACATATCAATCAGATTATCAAGATTGACCACATTCGCTGTTGGGTGACGCTAGTAGTCACTTCTTATCTACTTTGATCATGAAGTTAAAGTTACAATTCCTGTTTTTCTGGTACGAAAGCATGCTTGTTGCCGCCGATGTGATGAACGATCGTTTCATTTGCGCGACAATCACAAAAAATTTCCCGAGCGGTAGACAGTCCCTTTTAATAGGACTTCATCATTT